AATTTTTGCAGGCTACCCATCTGACAAAGGGCTGATATCCAGAATTTACAAAGAAATAAAACAGATTTACAGGAAAAAAACAAACAAGCCCATTCAAAAATGGGCAAAGGATATGAACAGACACTTTATAAAAGAAGACATACATGAGGCCAACAAACATAAAAAAATGCTCATCATCACTGGTCATTAGAGAGATGCAAATCAAAACTACATTGAGATACCACCTCACGCCAGTTAGAAGGGCAATCATTAAAAAATCTGGAGACAACAGATGCTGGAGAGGATGTGGAGAAATAGGAACACTTTTACACTGCTGGTTGGAGTGTAAATTAGTGCAACCATTGTGGAAGACAGTGTGGCGATTCCTCAAGGCCTTAGAAATAGAAATTCCAATTGACCCAGCAATCCCATTACTGGGTATATATCCAAAGGACTATAAATTGTTCTACTAAAAGGACACATGCACACGAATGTTCATTGCAGCACTGTTTACAATAGCAAAGACCTGGAACCAACAAATGCCCATCGATGATAGACTGGATTGGGAAAATGTGGCCTATATACACCATGGAATTTTATGCAGCAATCAAAAATGATGAGTTCGTGTCATTTGAAGGGACATGGATGAATCTGGAGAACATCATTCTCAGCAAACTGACACAAGAACAGAAAATGAAATACTGCATATTCTCACTCATAGGTGGGTGATGAAAAATGAGAACACATGGACCCAGGGAAGCAAGTACTAAACACTGGGGTCTATTGGGGTGAAGAGAGGAGGGACAGTGGTGGGGGGGAGCTGGGGAGGGATAGCCTGGGGAGAAATGCCAAATGTGGGTGAAGGGGAGGAAGGCAGCAAAACACACTGCCTTGTGTGTACCTATGCAAATGTCTTGCATGTTCTGCACATGTACCCCAAAACCTAAAATGCAATAAAGAAAATGTGCATTCAAAAATAATAATAATAATATCAGTGACAAAAGATAAAATAAAATAAAAATGGTAGAAAACCCAGCACTGTGTTTATAAGATACTTTATTTTGGTTACTAAGGTCACATATATATCAGGCAGTCAAAACTGCAGAATGCTAACCGTGTCCAGAGCCCCATTCTGAGAGAAATAACCACATTCAGTTGACCTCCCAGGTGGTAGGGCAGTGAAAGATAATCTGTTCCAACTGTAGCAAATCTGTAGGCTGACTAGTGGACAATAGGGTAATTATCTCTCCCGAGAGCTTGTACTGGAGAAACAGAGAATCAAATCAGGTGATTGGGGGATGAGAGGAAAAAAAATACGAGAAAGAGTACAGACAACGTGAGATGAGTTACTGATCCATGTTGTTGAAAGAGATTCTGAAGTACAAGAAGTGAAGTGGTAGCATGGAAGCTCATGTTGCAGTGAATTTTGGGCAAACATCCAACTAGCAAAACAGTTTTGTCTATTTAAGGCCAAAATCTACAGCAGTTTCTGTTTTTCCTATGAATTCTACATTAATGTCTATCCCTGAGCTGCTGTCTAATGTGGCCATATTTGTTTTCTTTTTGATTTTCATATTTCTCATGGATGAGCCCCTCCTAACTTTTAATCCAAGAACTGAATGTTACTGCAACTGAAACTAACACAGATGAATGTCATAGAATGAACCCCTGAACATTTGTTATTATTCATATTGCTGTCTTACTTTAGGACAAGAAGCAATAAGTATAATCACTAATGTTTTTTGATATATGAGGCTGTTGATGATTCTTTGATTGTATTACCCATTACAGCATTTGAAATATGTATAAGCCTATTGTATAATATAAACTCTATTTTTGGTAATAGGAGAGTAAAGAAATGACTCAGATGAAAATTAGGTCTGCATATGATATAGTAGAACTTAAATAGAGCCAAAAATTAAATTAAATGTGATGACTCAGGACTTTAATACAGATTTAGGAAGTTGTCCAGGAAATTCTGAATTGGCAAACAAATAAGTTCCTGATCTTGACTCTGATGTTTTATTTCATTCAAAAATAGTTCTTGTTTCTCTATGTTTTAATTCTGTGTCTCTTAGAAAGTTTGATCACATCTTGTCCTTTCTGTGGTATTTCTCTAAGGAGGTGAAAAAAATTGAGCTATTTCTCTTAATCCTATAAAACCTTTCTCTGTATGACTCTTTTCTAATCTTAAAATGACAATCTCCTTGTAAGGAAGTTTGACCCAACTACTTGCTGTTGTACACATCCACAAAGACTCATTCCTGCTTCTCCTGTTGCTTACCCTACACATAACCATTAGTAGTACTCACCTTACTCCAGAATATTTAATAAATGAGGTGTTACCATTATGCCAGGATTTAAGATTCAACAGCAAGGGCCTCTAGGATAAAATATGTGTCATTTTCAGCTCTGTTCTCTCTTTGGTCCCTATTATCAGATACTGAAATGGTTTGGCTGTGTCCCAACCTAAATCTCACCTTGACTTATAATAATCCCCATGTGTAAAGGGCAGGGCCAGGTGGAGATAACTGAATCATGGGGGAGGTTCCCCTCTACTGTTCTCATGGTAGTGAATAAATCTCACAAGATCTAATGGCTTTACAAATGGAAGTTCCCCTGCACGAGCTTTCTTCCCTGCTACCATGTAAGACGTGACTTTGCTCCTCATTTGCCTTCTGTCATAACTGTGGCCTTCCCAGCCACGCGGAACTGTGAGTTCATTAAACCTCTTCCCCTTTATAAATTACCCAGTCTCAAGTAGGTCTTTATTAGCAACATAAGAACAGACTAACACAGATACTTTACCCTTAGAACTCTCTTGTTCCTTTAAGTCACTAACGACTACTTCCTATCAAATATCAAGTGCCATGAGGATAAATGTACCCCATTAAATCACAAGTGGTTCTAAAACAATATGGAATGAGTTGGAGACACACTTGACACTGTGAGGTTTAAGAACAGGCATTTAGGTTCCCAGCCATGACACTTGCCTTAGAGAAGGCAAGACAAGTTAGGGGATCCCTTAAGCCTCAGACTTAAGCAGAGCACCATGTAGGGGTCAAAAGAAAAGGATATTTAAACAACAATCACCACAAAAAGCTTTAGTTCTATTTGTTCTGACTCTGTCATGCACAGCCTTTACTCAACCACAAGGTGTGAATCATGATAAAAATAACTTCCTGTTGACTTTTACAATATAAAACCTCAAAAGAATAACTTAACTTTCTTTTCATAATGTAATCCTATCTAGATATTTAGAAAAATTATTTATAGAAATTGCCTTTTAAAAAAGTAATAGTTGATAAAGTCTTTTGAAATACAACTCTCTCAGGTACCACTTATTAAATCTCTTTACTTCCTTAACTGACTTCAAGGCAATTTAAACACTAGAATATGTGTTTGATGCTATGAGCTGTGATGATAAAATATGAATATTTTATGGAAATCAGCCTGGTTTCCCACCAAGTGCATGGAGTAGAGACTCTTTGGATGAATGGATATTTTGAATTAGCTGATGGGGAAAGATTCTGAGGAGGATTTTTTTTTTCTATCAACAAGCTGCATCTAGATCTATGTGAGATGTAGTCAATTACGGAGAACTTTGGTTTTTAACATTTTTAATATGGATAAAATGACCCTCTTACTCCATCTGCTCCCTTAGATTGTCTTATTCACCACATTCCAGACATATGTTTTTAATGAGACTTCAGATATTCTATATGGTTTTTTATTGACTATCAGGCACTAAACTTTTTCAAAGAAAAACTCCTCAGCTGTTTTTCCAGACATCTGAATACATTAAGTTAGATGTTCTCTGAAGCTAGATAGCTTTAATGAAATGAGGAGACACGTATTGGTTTGGCTCAGAAGTGATTTGATCTAGTAATTTCTTCTCTTAGTAGGGTATTATGCCTGGCTCGTGACCTAAAAGAGACTTTGCAATTCTAAATCCAAATGGCTTTAAGTCTTTGCATATTCATGTATGTTTAACATGCATTATTATACTTTGAAATGAAATAAACATTTGAAAACTTGTAGACATACAAACTGTGAATTAAAGTACAATCTTAACGTAGATTACACTGGGAAGAGGAAGATGATTTAAAAGGATTAAATGATTAGAAATGAGTTTGGCAAAGTCAAAACCTTGTTCATCAGTTAAGTACAATTCATTCTTAGAAACAGCCTCTTAAAATACAAATGGCGTAGAGTTATAAACATGTTAGAATAGCAGTTCAAGCTGTCAATGGAAAATAGGTTTCTTTTCTTTAGAATTTCTCGATATATAAAAATGTCTTTAACCTCACATAATGAAATGAAGGCTAATGCTACAAAAGTAGACAGAACAAGGTGGCAACTATTTCAGAAAGTCAATGGATAATCACCCTAAGACTGATTCTCCTATAAAATTGTTATAAAGCTGAGATCTACTAGCAGAGGCTTTTATTCCATCTGAAAGTAAATAAAGCAGTTTGTCATATTACTGATGGAAGTATAAATTGGTGCAATCTTTTTGAAAGATAAAAGCCTTAAAAATGTGATAATATCTTGACTCAGCAAGACTCCTAGGAATTTATCCATAGGACATAATCACAGATGACCAGAGATTAAGCAGCAAGAATATTATTTAACAGTTTTTTAAAAAAGTAAAAAACTGCAATAAAACCAAATGTTCAACAGTAAGATATTACTTAAACTATAATGCATTCATCACATGGAGTTCTTCTGTAGGGCTTTTGGAATGATATTGCAGAAGAATGTTTAATTACATGGGAAGATGTCAATTATATAGTTTATATGAGAAAATATTTCCAAAACAGTGTATACTACATGAACTTATATGCAAATCAGTATGCATACTAATATACACATAAATATAAAACAAAGACTAAAATAATGTATACAAAATGTTATAATAGCCTATGAAATTTTTATTTACTTTCTCTTTTGTTTTCTACATTTTCTACGGTGAATATATATATATATATATATATATATATATATATATATGTTTCTCTAATAAAAATAAAAATTCTTACAAATATTTGTAAATCAGGAAAAAAGCTGGAAACTTGGAAGATATCTTGAAAATTGCATAATTTCCGAAATAAATATTTCAGGATGAATTATACTCTATTGATCCTTCCTTTCTCTGAAATGTAAACATTTTTGTACTCTCTGGTGAACCTCTCTAGAAGATAAATTAAAGATACAGCTCTCCTGGTATGGATAACGTGATTTTCCAAAACCACGAGTCAAACATATTTGGCCATTCAGAGCAAGTACTTCATAAACTCAAACGACTTGAGCCTTTAAGTAAAGTAAGTAAGGTAAGTAAAGAAGAATGTCAAAGGAATTATATTTCTTATATGTTTCAAGTATTAAGGCTTTAAAAAATTTTGCATAGAAAATAGAGCTTAAAATTAAGCTTTGACAAAATGTAAAACTACTTATGGGAATTCCCTTCCCCCAATTTAATGAATTCTTATGTGTGTCAATGAAACAGATATATGCTACCTAGGGCTTTCAAAACATGGCCGATTATTAAGTTGGTCATTTCTTAAGGCAATCGTATTTCATTTTGATTTTTTTCCAATTATTCTCCAGGACAAACTTAGCATTGCCCTTGATATCTTTTGTGGGCCATGCTGAGAAAATAATTCTACAAAAAAAGGAGTAGGAACAAAATTCTGTACCCTGTTAAATATTTTAACCTCAGGTAATATTTCTGACTGTACAATCTAATTGAATCATAGCATCACTAATCAGGCATCCCAAAGATCCCCCAGATTTGTCTGAAATGAATTTCAATGAAAACTAATGATAGCTTCCTTAGAAGAAAAGAACCAACATCCTTGACTACCCAGTTACCTTCAATGTCAGTGCTACATGTAAACATCTCATTATATGCAATCCAGGGAGATGCTGCCTATTGAGAATTCTGACACAAGTTCCATGGCCCCTGGCCCATGTATTTATAGGGCAGCTATCTCATAACTAGCTATATGGCTCTGCTTTCACTTCCTTCCTCCTGCCAGACTGTTTCAGTGAGGCTAACCCCTAGCCTAGAAACCCTTTTTTTTCCTTTAATTTTAAGTTCCAGGGTACATGTGCAGGATGTGCTGGTTTGTTACATAGGTACGCTGTAGGTGTGCCATGGTGGTTTGCTGCACCTATCCATACATCACTTAGGTATTAAGCCCAGCATGCATTAGGTATTTTTCCTAATGCTCTCCCTCCCCCAACCCCCATCCCCAACAGGCCCCAGTGTGTGTTGTTCTCCTTCCTGTGTCCACGTGTTTTCAATATTCAGCTTCCACTTATAAGTGAGGTATTTGAGTTTCTGTTCCTGCATTAGTTTGCTGAGGATAATGGCTTCTAGCTCCATATGACTACATACTATTTCATGGTATATATTTACCACATTTCCTTTATCCAGTCTATCATTGATGGGCATTTGGGTTGATTCCCTGCCTTTGCTATTGTGAATAGTGCTGCAATTAATATACATGTGCATGTATCTTTGTAATAGAATGATTTATAATCCGTTGGGTATATACCCAGTAATGGGATTGCTGGGTCAAATGGTATTTCTGGTTCTATACATTTGAGGACTCGCCACACCATCTTCCAAATGGTTGAACTAATTTACATTCCCACCAACAGTATAAAAGCATTTCTATTTCTCCACAACCTCACCAGTATCTGCTGTCTCTTAACTTTTTAATAATCATTGTTCTGATGGGTGTGAGATGGTATCTCATTGTGATTTTGATTAGTATTTATCTAATGATCAGTAATGTTGAGCTTTTTTTCATATGTTTGTTGGCTGCATGAATATCTTCTTTTGAGAAGTGTCCATTCGTGTCCTTTGCTCACTTTTTAAAGGGGCTGATTTTTTTTTTTGTAAATTTGTTTAAGTTTCTTGCAGATTTTGAATATTAGATCTTTGTCAAATTAATAGATTGCAAACATTTTCTCCCACTCTATAGGTTGCCTGTTCACTCTTATGATAGTTTCTTTGCTGTGTAGAAGCTTTTTAGTTTAATTAGATCCCATTTGTCAATTTTTGCTTTTGTTGCAATTGTTTTTGGCAATTGCATCATGAAATCTTTGCCTTTGCCTATGTCCTGAATGGTATTGCATATATTTTCTTCTAGGGTTTTTATAGTTTTTGAGTTTTACATTTAAGTCTTTAATCCATGTTGAGTTAATTTTTGAATAAGGTGTAAAGAAGGGATCCAGTTTCAATTTTCTACATAAGGCTAGTCAGTTTTCCCAGCACTATTTATTAAATAGGGAATCCTTTTCCCATTGCTTGTTTGTGTCAAGTTTGTCAAAGACCAGATAGATGTAGAGGTGTGGTCTTATTCCTAAGCTCTCTATTCTGTTTCATTGGTCTATGTGTCTGTTTTTGTACCAGTACCATGCTGTTTTGGTAGCTGTAGCTCTGTAATATAGTTGGAAGTTTGGTAGTCTAATGCTTCCAACTTTGTTCCTTTTGATTGGGATTGTCTTGGCTATGCAGGCTCTTTTTTCATTCCATATGAATTTTAAAACAGTTTCTTCTAATTCCATAAAGAATGTCAATGGCAGTTTAATGGAAATAGCATTGAATCTATAAATTACTTTAGGCAGTATGGCCATTAGAAACCCTGTTTTTCATCTATGGTTAGTCATTTGTTTTGGCCAAGTCCTGCCAACCAGTGCCATAAAGTGTCCATTTATTACTGGCCTGCCCTCATCTCCACCTTGCCTCCTGTCCCTAAGTGACTACTATAAGTTTCCTTGCTTTACAATGTTGAAAGTAAATGGTATCTCTATCAATGAAATGGCAAACAATTTCTCTGTGCCAGGTATAACTGGGATGGCAGCAGTTGCAGAAAACACTGTCTTAAGAAGGATTTTGAAGTTGAGAGCTTAGTGAAAATGGAGGCCATAATCAATTACCAGTGTGTGCCATAATAGGAGGAGAGGATGTAGCTGCTTATTGTTATTTCCTCTATTCCATACAAGCTAGTCATTCTCTTTTTCTGTAACAGAATTTAATATAATTTGGATATACTTTTAAATTCAATTATGCTACTTTTTATTTTGAAATGGAGTCTTGCTCTGTTGCCTAGGCTAGAGTGCAATGGCACCATGTCGGCTCACTACAACCTCTGCTCTCAGGTTCAAGTGATTCTTTTGCCTCAGCCTCCCAAGTAGCTGGGATTACAGGTGCATACCACCTCACCTGGCTAATTTCTGTATTTTTAGTAGAGATTGGGGTTTCACTATGTTGGCCAGTCTGGTCTCAAACTCCTGACCTCAAGTTTTCAGACTGCCTTGACCTCCCAAAGTGTTGGGATTGCAGGCATGTGCCATGTGCCCGGCCTGCTATAATTGCTCTCTAATTGATTTTTGGCATTCTAACATTATTTCCTGCTTTTTACTTCAAATATACCTTGGCTATATTATGGATTAAATATGGGGAAATCAAATCACCATTTATAACCATTATTACTGTAGGAAAATGCATTTGAAGTTCTATATAATTGACTTTTACAGAGGAGTTCTTGGAATTTAATCCATTCATAAACAGAGGCTTGCATCCATACCTTTTATAACCAACCATAGTTCTTGGCATATATTAACTACACAATTACTTCTATTGAATGACATTGAATTATATAGAAGTTGGCTGCTCCTTGAAAGTAAGGTGACATCTCTGTAGTGTTTTAGTGCTGATATCTAAAAATCACACAAAACTTCGACAGCCGTACTAAATAGCAAAATATTTTGGTAAGTAATATTTAGAAATGTTTAAAAACTCAGTTTATTCTTAGATTTCTAGGCCTGGGAAAAACCTCCTTTCACACAATGTGTCAAAAAAAAAAAACCCTAGAATTAAAATATACAAAGATGGCAAAAACAGTAAGAAGCTGACCAACCATAAAACATTGACAAACTAAAATATTACAGATCTAGACACAGGTTTTAAAATTTGGTGGGATTAAGAAACCTGCCAGCAAAAACCTTTTTGCTAAATCAAAGCACTCATATTTTGTTTTAAACATGTCCTCCTGTTTTTCCCGTAATAAAAAAGGCAAACATCTAGACGTCGCATCTGTGTGAAAGTCTTCTCCTACATTACCTTTTAAGCACCCTGATTTCCTCTGCCTCTGCTCTCCTCTAATTCCGGTCTCTTTAGTCATCATGCTCCTGTTTAAGCTGCTTTAGCTCTCTGTTGTTTCTGCAAAAGCAATAACTGCTTATAGTTCCCTCCTTTACTCTCTCGCTGCCATTACAGAAAATTTCAGAAATGTGTGGGAGTTCACAACCAATTTAGCCAGACAAAAGTTGGTCCTTGGAAATTGATTACTTTTGTTGGAGTTGGGGTAAGCAAAAGAATGTCTTGGCTGAAAGGAGCCCATGGAAGAGAGGAACAAAGGATTAGATTGCTTGAAACACAGTGCTGCTGAAGAGGTTCTACATGAAGCCATTACTGTATCAGATCTCAATTACTAATCTCTTCATTCATTCGTTGACTCATTCATTTATAACAATAAATGTTTATTGAGTCTCTATTATATTACAGGCCACATTTTCTTCTCTTATAGAACTTGCATTCTAGAGCAGGCAGAAAATTAATTTCAGATAATATGAAAACACATATCTTAGGAAGGTATCTAATTTTAACTTGGAGAAAAGATATATATCTTGGAGAAAGTTACATTTTAGTTGAGATCTGATCTGAAGAGTACTAGAAGGGGAAATCCAAGCAAAGATGGTCAGTGTGTATGTGTGTGTGTGTGTGTGTGTGTGTGAGAGAGAGAGAGAGAGAGAAACAAAGGAAGGACAGAGGACTCCTATTACAGGAAATAAAACCTGTCATAGGTTGGGAAGAAGCATGTAATAGCATGAGAAGACTAGAGGCAAGAGATGATACATGAATGGTCATGTTAAAGAGTTTTGGCATTATCATAAGTTCAGTCTGAAGCAATTTTGACTTTTTGAATTGGTAGTGGGGAAAGGAAGAGTGAAACAACTGGTTTATTTGTTTGAAAAATAACTGACTGCAATCTGTTAAAATAAACTTAAGCAGGGTAAGAATGACGCTGAGAGACTAGTTATAGAGCTGTTACTATGATATACGCACAAAGTGATGAGAACAAGATAAGGTGATGAAGGTGAAAGCAAAGGATCAATAGAGAAAGGTGTTGAAGGACCACTTGAGAGAACCGGCTTGGCTTTTCTGTCTTCCATCTGTAGCATCTCTAATACCTGTCAGTGGAAGCATGGAAAAGCATATTTTTTCACTGATGTATGTGAGGAACACAGAAGCTGCCTGTGCTTCAGTACTATTACTTTTAGAAACCCAGAAAATATATTTGAAATGATTTTATACAAATATTTTGGCTAAACAGGGAAATCAGATAAGCATTCATGGTGGGTGAGCACCTACCTACGTTCCACACAGTCAACACATGCTAAGCTGTTTACTCTCCATAGTCAGAAGACCAAAGCAGTCAGAAATTATGTGTATTTGAATCTCAGGTCTACTATTTTCCTGCTGGAGGACTTCAGACAACTCACTTAAGCACCCTGTACCTTAGTAAATCTAAAACTGAGGATTATAACAGTATCTTCCTCATAGATGTATTGTAGAGACTACTGAGTTAATTCATAAAGTGCTTGAAACAGTGCCTGGCACATAGTAAGCATTAACATGAGCTAAGTTTATTTTCTTCACAGCAATGAAGAAAACCAATACTCAAGGTTGAGTTAGATAGCCAATGTCACACACACTGAGTAGATGACTAGGCTGAAATTTGAGTTTATATTATCTTCAAAACCCAAGCTATTTCTACTTTACCCATGGGCATGAACACTGAATAGACCTGTAACAGCTTCTTTAAGTGATGGCTTTGAGGAAGTAGCTAAAAATGTCATATCTTTAGTTAAGGCCATGATGTCCACCCATCCTTGTGTGGCTTTTGGCTAGTTATGTAAACCACCTGAACCTCAGTATCCTTATCTTTAAGATGAGATAGTAATTGTCCCTACTTCATAGAGGTGTTAGGAGGTTAAAGGAGAGAGCACTCTTTGCTCTAGTTAGCACTGAGTAAAGGTTACCTATTACTGATTCCTATTCTACTATACAATGATGGGGACATCAGAGAGACCAATAGAAGGCTGCCTGGGTCACTCAGAACTTAGGTCTGTTTCCACAGAGCACCAAGAGAGTAGTCCTTCGTGTTTTCTGAGATCATGGTTCCATCTAGGCAAAGATGCCAATGGTTGAGTCCAGTGAGATCATATGAAAAATAGCTCAAGGATTAATTCAGTGGAAGAACAGTAATTCAACAGAAGCCAGAAACTCATTCTCTCCCTCTCCATATGAGTTTTCTTACAGTCACTGGGTTAACTTCATCTCTTTTCTTTTAATACTACCTAACCTTGTGACTTTTTAACTTTACATAATAGATTTTCCCTCTAATCAAAACTGCCCATTCAACAGTTCATAGTTTTACCTAAATTTTGGCCCTTGAAATATATTCAACACAGCTAAACCAAATTTTGCTAAAAAGTTCTAAATTTTTTAGTTTAGAACTAAACAAACAGACAAAAAACAAAAAATACCCAAAAAACTCAAAGGCTCATATTTTTCAACTTCTTCAGTGTGTGTGTGTGTGTGTGTGTGTGTGTTTGGTAGAAAATTTGAATTGGTCACAGTTGAGGCCCAGTACCAAGTTCTATAAGGAATGGCATGATCCTTTCCTCCCTGAAATGATGAACACCATGGCATGCACCTTCTGACATGAAACTCCTATAAATTTAATTAGGAACTAATCCTATGTACAAATAATGTTTTCAGTGTTGTGTCTTCCCTGTAACAATAAACACTTTCAAAGCATTTCAAAACTGTTCTAAGGAAGAGAGAAATCATTCAAAAATCTTCAAAAGCATACCAGACATTTCTCTATATTTTTTTTAAGGTACTTGATAGATATTTATCCATTTTGACGAGGTAATTCTTTCCCTTCATTAAGATTTCATGTCAAAAAATGTTTACCAAAGGAATATTTAGTTGAGGCTATGATTGCATTTATGAGAGTACCTTGTTCAGAATGGGTGTTCAGTAAATATTTGTGGGTAATTATAATCACAATTAATGTTAACCATGACCTTTTTGTAGCTCTCTTTTAGGATTATACTTCAAAAACACCCATTAAGCCATATGACAACTTAAAGGCTTACTAAACCAGCCAGCACAAGAAATAGTTCTTATTGATTTTAACAAAACCATAGATTAGGGGGCAGAGAAAGATAATGGAGTGGAACTTTCCAGTGATCGTCCAATCTATTTGGACATCTATTCATGCATGAAAATATGTTCACAAAAGCTAAGGAACCCAGGTACGAGGTCACAGTATCTGGTTGCAGTACAATAATAAGAAAAGATACATCGATGATGATAGGAAGAGCAACTTTACATTACTCATATCACCCCTTCCCCAACACCAGGCTGCACAGCTCAGCATGGAGAGAAACACTATCTACTTCAAGAAAATAAAGGAAAGTGAGCATAAGACTTCCCCTTGGACCCCAAACTGGGCCTGCCACAGTGAAACCCAGCTGGACAGAACCCCCAGCCTTGTATTTCAGGCTTACAGACTAAGCCTCTAGACCCACTCTCGCACCAGATGAGACCACGTAGCTCCAGGCTTCAGACTTGCTTGGTGAACCCAGTCTCCACCGTTGTACCACCACTGGGCTTACATCAACAGCCCTGGGCTCTGGACAACTCTCAGCAGCAGGCAGGCTTGGCCTCAGTAGTCTCTGATTTCTAGTGTTTCCCAATTTCATGCCAGGTACCTCTGACCCATGTTTCTAGCTTGTCCTAGCACTGGACCTGCTGTAGTGGGTCCAGGCGATTCTAGAAATACTATCTGCCAAAGGCTTATGATCTACCCCAGCACCATGCCTACCACAGCGAGCCACAGGCTTATTGAATGAAGCGCCATGCTAGCCAAATCTGTCCTGGACTTCTGAACTACCCCAGGATTGCAACTGCTGTGGCATACCTGAGACTATGAGCAGCCCTGTGCCAGCCACAGCCACTCCAGGCTTCTGATGCACCTCAGTGCTATACCTGCCACAGGGATTTTCCTAACAAAGCTAGTCTTCAAAGACTGGAATAAATGCCTAATTCCTCAAATGTACAGACACAAGGATCAAGAACTATCAGGGAAATATCATGGCACCAAACAAACACAACTGTCTGAAAAAGATTCAAAATAATTGTTTTAAGAAAGCTCAACGAACTCCAAGAAAATATAAATAAACAGTTTATGAAATGAAGAAATAAATAAGTGACCAGAATGAGAAATTTAATACAAGATTTGAAAAAAAAAATCAAACACAAATTTTGGAAGAAAACAATACAAAATGAAAAAATGCAATAGAGGTCATTGACAGCAGAGATCATGCAGAAGAAAAAATCTGTGAAACTGGAAACATACAATCAGAAATAAATGAAAATATACAGTCAGATGAGAAAAGAATTATAAAAAGTAAAGAAGTTCTTGTAACCTTTCTAGTTTTCAAGATGTATGGGACAGCATCAAAACAGCAAATGTGGCCAGGTGTGGTGGCTCACACCTGTAATCCCAGCACTTTGGGAGGCAGAGGTGGGTGGATCACCTGAGGTCAGGAGTTTGAGACTAGCCTGGCCAACATGGCGAAACTCCAACTCTACTAAAAATACAAAAATTAGCCAGGCATGGAGGCTAAATGAGACAACAACTAGAACAATAGAAAAGATAACAAAATTAGGAGTTTGTTTTTTTAAAAAATAAACAAAATGAACAAAACTTTACCTAGACTAAGAAAAATGGAGAGGGTCTCAAATAATTGAAATCAGAAATGAAAAGGGGACATTACAACTGATAAAAACAGAAGTACAAAAAATTATACAAGACAGTTATGAACAATTATATGCCAACAAATTGGATAACTTAGAATAAATGGATAAATTTATTGACACATACAACCTACCAAGACTAAATTATGAAGAAATTGAAAACTGTAAGAGACCAATAATGAGTAAGGAGACTTAAAAGAAAAACCCATGACCTGATAGCTTTACTGCTGAATTCTATCAAACTTTCAACAATTAATTAAGCATAGAGGGAATGTACCTCAGCAATATAAAGACTCTCTATGTCAAACCCACAGCTATATCATATTCAACAGGTAAAATTTAAAGCTTTTCCTTTAATATCTGCAATAAAAGAAGGGAGCCCAGTTACACTACTTATATTCCATATGGTACTGAGGTCCCAGTTAGGGCAATAAGTAAAGAGGAAGAAATAAAAGGCTCCAAATTGGAAAGGAGTAAGTTAAAGTGTATCTTATACATACAAATCCCGAAAGACTCAACCAAAAAACTTTTAAAACTAATAAACAAATTCAGTAAATTGCAGGATACAAGCTCAACATATAAAAACTCTAGCATTTCATATGCTAACAACAAACAATATGGAAAAAAATGAAGAAATTGATCCCATTTATAATAGCAACAAAAAATACCCAAGAATAAATTTAACCAAGGAAGTGAAACATATTTTCACTCAAAACTAGACACTAATGAAAGAAATTTAAAAAGACACAAATGAATGGAAAGATACCACAGGTTCATGAATTGGAAGAATTAATATTGTCTACACATTCGCATTGCCCAAAGAGATCTATAGATTTGATACAGTCTCTACGAAAATACCAGTGACATTCTGCACAGAAATAGGACACAACCTTAAAATTAATATGAAACCATAAAAGACCCCAATGAGCCACAGTAGTCTTGAGCATAAAGAACAAAGCTGGAGGCACCTGTCTTCAAAATATATTACAAAATTATTATAACTAAATTATAATAATATAGGCAGGAAAAGAGACACTTAGACCAATGGAACAGAAGAGACAGGGCAGAAATAAATCTTCACATTTATAGCCAATTGATTTATGACAAAGGCACCAAGAGTCTATAAGGGGAAAAGGACAGTCTCTTCAATAAAGTGTTTATCAACCTAAGTCTCTTCAGTAAATGATGAAGGGGAAACAGGATATTTACATGTAGAGGAACGAAATTAGATCCTTATCTCACATCATATACAAAAATAAACTAAAAATGGTTTAAAGACTTAAATGTAAAGCCTGAAACTATAAAACTACTAGAAGAAAACCTAGGGAAAAGGTTCCATGACATTGGCCTGGGCAATGATTTTTTGGATGACACCAGAGGCAATGGCATCAAAATAAAAAATAGACAAATGAGATTACATCAAAATAAAATGCATCTACACAGCAAGGAAATAATCAACAGTATGAAGAGACAATCTACAGAATGGGAAAAATATTTTCAAACTATGTATCTGATAAGAGGTAAATACCTGAAATATGCAAAAAACTAAAAGAATTTAATAGCAAGAATACAAGTAACCCCATTAAAAATGGGTGAAACTTGTTCCCCAAAAACCTTTTGAAATAAAAAATTAAAAACTAAAAAATAAAGTATACCTAATATCCTCCCAAAATGGGCAAAGGCCCTGAATAGACATTTCTCAAAATAAAACATACAAACGAACAACAGGTATATTTAAAAATGCTCAACATCACTAATCATCAGAAAAATGCAAATGAAAATTCCAATGTGATATCACTTCACACTTGTTAGAATGGCTATGATCAAAAAGACCAAAGATAACAAGTATTGACGAGGATGTGGAGAAAAGGAAATCCTGGTGTACTCTTGGTGTGAATGTAAATTAATAGTTATTATGAAAAATAGTATAAAGTTTCCTTAAAAAATTAAAAATCGAACTCCCATAAAATCTATCAGTGGCAATGTATATATACTCATATACCAACATACACCAACACTAGATATATATCCAAAGGAAATAAAATTAGTATCTTGAAGAGATATTTGCACTTCCATATTCATTGAAGCACTATTCACAATAGCCCAACCATGGAATCAACCTAAATGTTTATCAGTGGATGAATGGATAAAGCAAATGTCACAAATACACACAATGGAATACTATTTAACCATGTAAATAAAAAGAAAGAAATCTTGTCACTTGAGACAACCTGGATGAACCTAGAAGACATCACGTTAAGTGAAATAAGGCAGACACAGAAAGAAATTTATTGCGTGATCTCACTCATATGTGGAATCTAAAAAATTATCTCACAAAAGTAAAGAGAGAATGGTGGCTACTAGGGGCTTGGAGTGGGGAGGGATTTTGGGAGGCATTGAGAAGATATTGGTCAAAGGATACAAAATTTCAGTAATATAGGAGGAATAAGGTCAAAAGATCTATTGTACAACATCATGACTATAGTTAATAATATCCTGTGTTCTTGAAAAATGCTAATAGAATGGATATAAAGTGCTCTCACCACAAAAATGGTAACTACATGTGGTAATGCATATGGTAATTAGCTAGACTTAGTCATTCCACAATGTATATATACTTCAAACTATCATTTCATGCATGGTAAATACAGTCATGTGCCACATAATGATATTTCAGTCAATGATGAATCATATGTATGATGCTCTCATTAGATTGTAATACTGTGTTTCTACTGTGTCTTTCTATGTTTAGATATATTTATATACTCAGATGCTTATCATTGTGTTACAATGGCCTAAAATATTCAGTAGAGTAACACACTGTACAGGTTTGTAGCCTGGAAGCAATAGGCTATACCTTATACCTTAGGTGTATAATAGGCTATAGCATTAGGCTTTTGTAAATATACTCTATGATGTTTGCACAACAAAATTTCTTAACGTTGCATTTCCCTAAACATATCCCTGACCTTAAGTGACACATGTTTGTACATACAATTTTATCTGTTAATTTTTAAATTTTAAAAAAAATTTAAAGAAAGAAAAGAAAACCACATTTTTTGCTATCTTGTTTTACTTTACTTTTCTTTCTTTCCTTTTTTTTTCTTAATGGGATGGAGTCTCACTCTGTCACCCAGTTTGGAGTGCAGTGGCGTGGTAACAGCTCACTGCAACGTTTGCCTAAGTTCAAGCAATTCTCCTGCCTCAGCCTTCTGAGTAGCTGTGATTACAGGTGCACCCCACCACGCCTGGCTAATTTTTTTGGTATTTTTAGCAGAGTCAAGGTTTCACCATGTTGACCAGACTGGTCTTGAACTCCTGACCTCAAATAATCCACCCATCTCGGCCTCCCAAAGTACTGGGATCACAGGTGTGAGCCATGGTGCCCAACCTTGTTTTACATTTTATTAACCTGACAGTTAACCACTGATGTTACATTTTGGGAGCTAGATTATACATATTTTTTTAGGTTCTTGATTAAATGGTAAATATTCCTCAAGACTCATATGCAGTATACATGCTGACTTGATTAATTTTTTGTAACACCTCAGGATAGAGATACTATTTTCATTGATCAACACAATAAATAAGAGACAAATACCTTCATTTGCAAGAAAACAAGAAAGTTTGCCAAGCGTAATATAATCACATAACTTTTACTATTTTTTAGCTTCTATGCACTAATTCTAACCTAATAGAAAAAGTCAAGATTTTTATTCTATATTGAAGAAGATGTTTAAGTTAGTATATTCAGCGCTTAAATAATCTGTGTCCCAAAGAGAAAGCACTGGGAAAGCTATTCTTTTAATTCACATGATAATCAGTGAGTTGAGGCTTGTGCTTATGACCAAAAAATCCTTATGTGGAAAGTAACTTTTGTTTTTATTCTAGCCAATCTCTTCTTGCCATACATCAAGAAAGAAAATCAGCTATTTTTTTAAGGCAAAGTTAGCAAACTTAAAATGCATCTTGCATACTCTCTGGAGTAATTACTTGGGCATTTTAATCCATTAACTTGATAATTTGCAGGATAGGATATTTACAAAAAAAGTTTACTACAGAATTGATGTCATCATGTCCCAGAAAATTATTTACTCGCATTATCATAATTTTCAGAAATACATGCCTGGAGAAATTTAAATAGCTGTAGGAATGCTAGACCTTATATCCAGACCTTATATGCTGATAAACCAATAGCTTCGTTATCTAAAAAGTGCTGTCACTTGAAAAATATGCAAGTTGACTTGAAAATTGAAATGAGGTCAGTAGTTGCATTTAAACTTCTACCAGTCTTCCTAACTAATTTAAATTATGAATAGTAAAATAAATTGAGAACTTGCAGACTATTACATTTCAGATAGGAATCTGAGTTTTTTAATAAAAATACATAATCATAGCCTTTTCAACTGCTTCAGGTCTAGTGTTATTAGGCAATCCTAGGGACTTAGGTTAATGCTACAAATACCTATTGCAAAAGCGGGAAACTCCTGACATGTGACACAAGACGAGATGGACCAGCAGCTTTCTAAGGTTGCTGGGCACCTCATCAAAGTCAGTACTCAACAAACAGTATCCCCTCCCTCTCTTTTCTAAAACCAAAAAGGAGACCCCTTTCTCCTTGGTTCAGGCAGGTGCGTGTCTCCCAGCAGGTTTCAGCACAGATGGGATGGTTTTCTAACTTCAATAGGATGGCTAGAGCTGAAACTGGGTCCCTGAGGGGATCTGCTGTCAGGCCAAAGCTGGAGAACCAGGTCTTGTTGGCTCAGAGGAGCTTGCATCTCCCAGCAAGTCCCTGCACACTCAGGAAAGAAACTATAAAACCACTAGAAGGAAACATTGAGGAAATGCTACAGGATATTGAGCTGTGTCAAGATTTTTGGGGTAAGATCTCCAAAGTACAAGCAACAAAAGCACATATAGGATAACGGAATTACAATAAGCTAAAAAGCTTCTGCATAGCAAAGGAAACAATTAACAAAGCGAAGAGACAACTTGCAGAATTGGAGAAAATATTTGCAAATGATCCATCTGACAAGGGATACATTAAAAACTCAAACAGCTGGGCCTGGTGGCTCACACCTGTAATCCCAGTACTTTGGGAGTCTGAGGCGGGCATATCACTTGAGGTCAGGAGTTCGAGAGCAGCCTGGTCAACATGGTGACACCATGTCTCTACTGAAAATACAAAGATTAGCTGGGCATGGTGGTGTGTGCTTGTAATCTCAGCTACTTGGGAGATTGAGGCACAAAAATTGCTTGAACCCAGGAGGCAGAGGATGCAGTGAGCTATCATGCCATGGCATTCCAGCCTGGGTGACAGAGTGAGACTGCATCTCAAAACAAAACAAAGAAAACTCAAACAACTTAATCATTAAAAAAAAAATAATTATCATCAAATTTAAAACTGGGCAAAATACCTGAATAGACATTTCTGGAAAAAAGATCTATAAATGGCAAACAGGTATATTTAAAAAAAAATACTAAAAGTCAATAATTATTGGGGAAATGCAAATTAAAACCACAAGCAGATATCATCTCATTCCGGTTCAAATGGGTATAGAAAGACAAAGAATAATAAGTGTTGGAGAGGATGTAAAGAAAGGGATTCTCTTTTATACTGTTGGTGGGAATGTAAATTAGTACAGCCGTTATAGAAAACTTTATGAGCTTCCTCAAAAACCTAAAAAGAGAACTACTACATGATCTAGCTATCCCGCTGCTGAAAGGAAATCAGTATATGAACCTGATATCTGCACTCCCACGTTACTGCAGCATTATTCACAATAGTCAAGATATGAAATCAACATAGTCGATTTCATATAAGTGTCTATCAGTGGATAAATGGATAAAGAAAATGTGGGATATGTACACAACGGAATCTTAATGGGCCATAACGAAGGATAAAATCTTGTCATTTGCAGCAGTATAGATGGAATGGAGATCACTGTGTTAAGAGAAATAAGCACAGCACAGCAAGACAAATGTCACATGTTTCCACTCATATGTGGGAGCTAAACAGGAGGATTTCATGTTGGTTGAAAGTAGAATGGTGGTTATAGAGGCCTGGAAGGAAAGGAAGGATGGGGAATGAAGCATAGTTGATTAATGGGTACAAAAATAAAGTTAGAGAGAAGCTATCAGTTCTAGTGTTCAGTGGCAGAGTATTTTATGGTTATACAGTTAACAATGACTTATCGTTTATTTCAAAATAGCTAGAAGAATTTTAATATTCCCAATGCAAAGAAAACATTTGAGGGAATGGACATCTCAATTACTCTGCTTTGATCATTACACATTATAGATAGGTATCAAAATATCACATACATCCCAAAGATATATACTACTATGGCATATAAATTATTTTATTTTTAGAGATAGGTCTTGCTTTGTCACCCAGGCTAGAGTGCAGTGATGTGATTATAACTCACTGAAGCCTCAAACTCCTGGGCTCAAGCAATCTCCTGCCTCAGTTTCCTGAGTAGCTGGGACTACAAGCATGTGCCACCAAACCCAGCTAATTTAGAAAATTTTATTTGTAAAGATAAGGTCTCTAGACCTGTCCTAGCTTCATGTGACCCTCCCGCTTTGGCTTCCCAAAATGCTGGGATTACAGGTAGAAGCCACTGCATCCAGACTGATGTATCAATTTAGAAAAAAGAAAAAGAGTATCCTTTTCCAGGAATCGTGAACTTCTTGTAGAATGCAGAAATATATAAGATTTCAATAATAATAATTATTATAACAAACAACCTAATATTCATGAAGGTCTTACTATGTGTATGACACTGTGCTAACTGCATTAATCTCTTGTAGTACTTCCGTTTTGCAGATAATAAAAATGAAATTTAGCAGAGTTAAAGAACTTGTTTTTGACGACTCAGCTGGAAATTATTAAAGTTAGAGTCTGAATATAGGTCATCTAATCCCGGAGCTTACACTTTTCATCAGCACTTAACTATTTAATAATTAAATAAGTCGAGTGCTATTTTGAAGCAAAAACAACTTCTTGCTTTGATTTTTGTAATCCAGGCTAATTTTTCCACAATGAAGAGATAAAAAAGTAATTATTTTGTATACTTTTTGAGGAAGAAAATTACTGTCTTATGCATAAATATATCATATCATAGCAATGTTTTATTTGATAATAGGATGCTCACAAAAAAACTTTTTGAGGTTTGAGGTTTGAGTTCCACCTCTGTCAATTAGTGTCTTTGAGAAAACGGACGTGGTTTATTGTTATTTTGTTTTGCTGTTAACAGCACTGAGCATCTACTTTTCAATATGTAAATGAATCTAACAAATGAATACAATAAAAATATAAATGTCTACGATTTAGTTTCCATAGGGATTAAAGGAAATAATGTATATAAATTACTTAGGTCAGTGCCTAGCATATTGTAAGCACTCAATGAATGCTTTCAAATACAAATTGAACATTAAAATAACAGTAATAATATCCTGTTGTTAGGAAAAGCATAAAGAAAAGTCAACCTTGGTGTGCATGAGTTTTGAGGAGTAGAAAGAAGGGTATCTTTTAAGAAAATTCCAAGTAATGTGATTGACAATTCAAGCTAGCAGCACTGTATCTAATTTGATTGACCTTAGCTTTAAAGGAGCTCATCTAAATAAGGGTCTTTCTGTAAAACCTCAGGAGATCCAGCTTTTAAAATATTATATTCTACTAAATCAGATGATGGATATCAAAGACAGCACACTTTTTGGCACATAGGCCTCAGAAAATGCTAGAAAGCATGCTTGTGAAAGTGTATTATTGATTCTATTGCCATTATTATTATCTTGTTCTGCCTGTATCCGTATTTTCTCTGCTTCTCTGAGGCACTAAAATGAGAGCCTCACAATTGTCCAGGAAAGCAGTACTTGGACCTGGGAAGCCTGCAGAATCCATTTCGGGGTCAGACAGTTTTGTTTGACTTTTACAATCCAGAGACCCATCTGATGTCAAACTGCAGAAAGAAGCACGTTTCAGATTTACACAAGAGTTAGAGAAAGACTGACTGACTGCATTTGCTCAAGTTGATTCTCAGGATGAGAGATGCACTTTTTCTTTTTTTAAACACTGTTGCCAAACCTTCTTTTAGTAACATAGAAAAGCATAGCTGTCACTGGCCTCAGGACTGACAATCAAAGTGCAGAGATTCCCTTTTCCCAGCTGAATCATCTCCAGATCAAGAATTACTCAACTGGGAATGGGAAGGTGGAAATTACACAGTCCTGAACTGTCGAATACAGTGGCTTCACATAGCAACTGAGAACTCGAAATGAGGTTAATCTAATTAAAACGTGCTATAAATGCAAAATATATACTGGATGACAAAGATTTTGTGTGAAAAACAGAATTTAATGTGATGCAAGATTTCCTAGGACTCACCATCTGTGGTTTACTAGCATTTATTTTATTTTTTAATTTTTAATTTTTGTGGGTACATAGTAAGTGTATGTATCTATGGGCCACATGAGATATTTTGATACAGGCATCCAATGCATAATAATCACATCAGAACAAATAGGGTATCCATCACCTCAAACATTTCTCTTTTGTGTTTCAAGCAATCCAAATATATTATTTTCGTTATTTTTAAATGAATAATTAATTTTTTCTATAGTCACCATGTTGTGCTAGCAAATACTAGGTCTTATTTATTTTTTCTAACTATTTTTTGTATCCATTAACCATCCTCCCACTGCTACTGTTCCCAGCCTTTGGTAACCATTCTTCTACTCTCTATCTCTACGAGTTCAACTTGTTTTAATTTTTAGCTCCCTCAGATAAGTAAGAACGTGTGATGTTTGTCTTTCTGTGCCTGGCTTATTTCACTTTACATAGGTTAGCATTTATAATTTATATTTTTAACTATAATATAATTAGTTTCCTCAGAGTCTGAAAAGGAAGTCATTTCATCTACTTTATAGATAAGAAGTATGGTTAATAGTTACTGTATGCTTCTTATGTGCCATGTACTGTGCAAAGCATGTTTCATTCATAATTTCATTTAATCTTGCTCTATTAAAAAGTTACACACTTAACTACATTTTATAGATGTTCTAACTGAACCTTGGAGGATTTAAGTAATGTGCTTAAGGTTATGCAGCTGAAGCCTAGTTATGTAAAGAAGTCAGTTTGGCTTCAAAGACCAGACTAATGCTAACTTATTTATATGGTCTCCCATTGAATCATTTGTGGAAAAGCAGAGTTGCACCACATACAAAAAAATTGAACGAAATGGTTTTTTATTTAATTCCTCTAAATCTCTGTGTGGTAAAAGGATATCTTCTTGCAGATAAATCGTTCTGAAGTATCTGACCTTATCTGCTTCCCAGAAAATGTAGTCAAGTTGCAAATAAGGTGCAGTGTCTTCTTCTGTTACTGAATTAAACAACTTGGGTCAAATTGTACCTGAAGGTACTTAGAATCCAATTATACTTGATTCCTTGTTAAATCACTTAGGCTAGCAACTGAACTTGTTAAAAGAGTAATTCCCAAGTATTTAAGGATAGAATGCTGAGTTATAAAATAGATTTTGCCTTTTATTGTATGTCTTTATGTTTCATGTGCACATTGCATTTGTGAGACAGAGCAAGAAAGGACAGAAGTGCTGGTGAGAGAAGTGGCGAGAATCCCAGTCAATGCGCACCCCTTATTTGTTATTGGCTGTTGGGTATTTCCAGCTCATCTTTTTTGATTCATGGTTATTCTTTTTTGGTGGTTCTGGATTTGCCTGCATGTGCTGTCATAGAGGTACTTGTCTGTCTCAGAACAGATACTTTCAAGCACACAGGACACACCAAGCGGGAACTGGTGAGCAACTGGGGTAATCCAATTGGGCTGTCCTCTTCTTTGAATACCTGCTTCTGATCAGCTAATTATATTTCCTAGTTCTGGGGGCAGAAGAGTCAGGCAGTTCCCCTGAATGTGGAGTTCCTTAAGCTGGGTAGGCTCCCCAATTTCTCTAGGTTGCAAGATGAGATTGTTATCCCTAAAGCTGGGTATCTGCAACTTTGTGAACTTCCTAATATCTGGTGGTAGGATTTCAAAATCATCGTCACTTACATAGAGTGCACACAAGGTGGTAAGGCAGATGAAGTTTCCAGGAAGAGAATTTTCATTCAAGTTTTACATCAAATCCAGAAGGTCAAGAGCAAGTAGAAAGCAAAATCCTTCAGTCAAAATATTTAGCCCATTCATGCCCAGGTTCACTTGCTTGAGTTTCCAAAGGTTGCTGGTCTGTGTGGGCAGCTCCTCAATCTGGATATTAAGGATGTTGATAAATTCCAAGTTCTTCAGTTCTGCTGTGTTTGGTGGCACCAGTGTGAGCTTGTTATGTCTGAGGACCAGTAGTTTGGTACAGGATGAGGAAAATGTGTACAGCATGTTAGAGATGGCATAGTCACCCTATCCACTTCCTGGCTCTTCTCCACAAACTTTTTCAGAGTCTTGGACATGGTTGCAAAGAGCAGCACCTAACAGCATGGGTGTGGAATGACAGGCTGTGGCGGGATGCACTTTTATTGTACTTCTGAAGCTGTTTACATTTATTTGCTAGAAGAGCAACCTTTCTTTTTAACTTGGCCTAATGTACAAAGCCATGGTTATTTGAATACTTATTTTATGACAGGGTAGTGATTAGGGAGATGCTTAACACATTTTGGTAGAAGGATGCCTGGGAGATAAATCCCAGACTGAAACCTGAACTGTATCCTCAACTGTATGCTACTTCTGAAAGATGGATATTGTCTAATAACTGAGAGTAAAGAAACTCCTTTCTGTTTGCCAGTTTTATGTGCCTAAAGTAGTGACAACAAATTGACAATAGTCCACAGAGTAGAAAGGAAGGAAAAACAGCAAACAAAGGCCACTACAAACCCAGCAATAGCACAAAGCGGGCCCAAAATTGCTAACTAGGTAAAAGCATTATGTTCTTGGTTCTTTTCTTCTAAGGATCTATAAAATAGTTCAAATATGTTGTTTCACTTATCTGTACACTCCTTCTCTGGAGGAATAGAGCTTGGTACAGATTCCCATTCAGCAAGAGATAAAATGGAGGCAGAAATGAGAGCCTTGACTTGTCCCAAGCCCCATAACTGGTTTGTAATAGCTGTTCAAAGCACTCAAAATCTCCTTCAAGGGAGTAAGTGGAAAACTCAGTGAATGCTGAGCTATCTAGGAAGCTTTCAAAGAAGAGAATTTAAAATTCACAGGAATGTGTAAGAAACCAATTTGAGACTGTATATGTTAACAAAATTGTCACAAATTTTCATGGTACATGCTTATAAAAAGCAATGGCAAGGATAATACTATAGTTAGCCAGCAGTTATGCATGAAGTGTTATTATAGAAATTATTTAACTGTCATGGGAAATGTCCTGACTAAGGACAAAATGAAAGTAAATCAACAATGTAGGACTTCCGTCAACAAATTAAGAGAAGAAATTTAAGCTCAGATTCTAAGCAATTTATTAAGATAGGCTCTAATTTAAAATATGTTAAACTGAGCACAGAGAAGAACTTTTACAAAATACTCAAGAATTTAAACTTATTTAAACATAATATGCTCTAGCTTTCCTTCTTTGTTAAGACTTTTATGAAAAAAAATCTTTCAATATAAGTAATCTTTAAATCCCCTGATCTCGTGTCATGATTCCTTGTCTTTGGAATTTCCCTCTGCTTTCCCTACTCTGCATTCATATGTCCCAGATTGTTAACGCCTCACGGGACCCTACCTCCTCATGGGACTCTACTCTTTATCAGATCCTCTTCAATATTTCCATAGCATTGAAAGTCTTTACCACATAAGAATCTTATTCTTATTTATTCTTACATATTCTTAAAAACCTATCTATATTGAAAAATTTGGGATATAATGGTACTAGTCAATATCATTTGAGTCATTTGAATCATATGATTTGACACCATGCTAAGTGTTTTACATGTACCATTTATTTAATCCTTATGATATCCTATTGAAGTAGGCACATTTATCATCCTCATTTTATATCCCTAGAAAAGTAAAAACTTACCAAATCATTATGACATCCTATCTTTAGAAAGTGAGACTAGAAGAGGACCTTGACTGCCAGGCTAAGAAACATAAATTTCCATATTTTCACACATCAAGCAGATATCTACTGAATGCCTACCATACCACAGTCTCTGAACAAAAGACTGAGGACACATAAATAAGTAGAGTGTAATTTCTGTCTCCAATGAGTTCCCAGGAGAATTTAGCCAGGAAAACATACAATTGCAATTACTGGATCAAATAAGCTAAAATATAAGGTGTGTAGGAGGTACCACAGCACAGAGGATGAAAGAATTAACTCAGAGATAGCTTTGCAGAGGATGTTTGGGCTGGCTTGTGGAATGGTTAGGAAGGAAGAAAAAGAATGGAAGGTACAAACGCTTATTACAGGAGAGAATGTGGTTAGAGAGGCTAGATCAGGTATGCTAGAGGAACAGGTGGATCAGCTTTTGGAGACCCTGGTATAACCTGGCTAAATAATGCAAATTTTATTCTATAGGAAATGGAAGGCACTGATAGATTGTTAAGTAACAGGGAACTACTGATGAGGAGCATGGTGACAGGTTATCCTTGACTTTCTTTATGAATTTCCCATTATTCATCTTCCTTGTCCTTGAAATCTGGCCTGTCCTGGTCTCCCTGTTACTCTGGACTCTTTACACCTTTACTCTTTATGTTAGTTGCTTCTTTCCCTTTCAACTACTTTAACATGTCAACAATTTATTCTGTTTAGGATTTAGTATGTGTATTTAAAGTCATTAACACACAGGGAGAGCCAAGTCCATTTGTGTGTATGGTAGAAGAATGAGATGAACTAAGATGAATAAGATATAGCTCTTGTTATTTAAATAAAATTGGGGGTTACTAATTTTAATCTTAAAATCAGATATTTGTGACTATATTTTTCTCTCTTTAATACTAAATTAGTTTTGCCTACATGTGACTCTTGATTTTAAAATATCTGCAGTATGTGGGTTGTAAGAGGGGAAAACCCTCATAAAAATTAAACACATATGTACCATGTATATAAAAATTCAGCAGTAGTTGGGTATTATAGTTGGTGCTTGGAAAAAGTGTAAATTTAATCTGAATCTAACGTCTAGTTGGCTAGCGGAATTTCAGTCCCTGTGATACCTGCAGGATAGGTGTAAAGGGGATAAATTAAAGGACCTTTCATACCTATTAAATTACAACTTCTAGGAAAGACACCTACCAACTTACCTGACTATGGAGATCATCAGCTTCTTGCAACTGGGCTGCAGATTGTATGTGGGGAGATTTCTTGGCTATCAGAAAAAGCCAAGAGTTAATTTTATGCACCCAGCTCAAAAGAAGTAACTATCCACTCATTTCTGTACACAGTCTCAAAACTGAGTCAGAACAAAAAGCCGTCATGAGTTGGTGACTGCTGCTTAATGTTTTCTATAATAGTCTTTGAAAAGAAACTTTGATCTGTAATACTATTTGAAACCAGAGTGTCCTGAATTTTAAGTCATCAGTAATAACACCATTATCACAATTCATTTCTGTCCAACTTTGTCTTAAGAACAAGCCATTCCCTACATGACTTAAGAACTCTTCATTCTCTAAAGTAGTAATGCCACACATTTATCAGCTTTAATAATATAACACAGTTTTCATTTGATGATTTATCATAATTATTTCTCCACTTTTTTTGTTCAACCATCAAAGTAGTGTCTTCTAAATTAGCTCTGAGATTCTCCATACGAACTTTACCCAAGGGGAAATCTCAGTAAAATTCTTAAAGATAATTTATCTTAGATTTTCTTGTGTGCATTCAAAATGAGATAAACTCAAAAATTCATTGAAAACAGAATGGTTATTTCTACTCCATCCTTCTGTTAGTCAGATTGTAATGGCTCTGGGAATGTTACTGGTTAATATTTTTATTGATCCTCTTGTGATTAACCTCATCTATCCCTGCCATGAAGGTTAAATCCAATTATGGGAGATTTTGGAAGAGATATTTAAGTGTGATACAAACAGCCTACAAAACTCTGAAGATACAGATTAGATGCAGACAAATGAGTTATCCAAACAGGACCTACTCATCTCTACATATAATTTTGTCACTTCTTCCTCTTGACTGAAATGCTCACTTTTATCTAATTGTACAGCTTTCTCTCAAATCCCTGTGCATAACTATTCTGATATTTAATTATTACTAATATCACATGTTCATGCAAAACCTCTAGGACAGTAGAAATATCATCAAAATTGACCCACAACTGAATTATCTTTGCCATTTATTGGCTACATGGTCTCAGGAAAGTAACTTAGATAATCCACACTGTATTTTCCCACAGGATTGCTTATAAAGATTAAATGGGATAGTAAATGCCTAGGTCAAATTCAAAATATAGTAAGAACTCAATAAATGGCCCCCCTTACCAATAAAGTTCCAGATTAGTATTCAAGATGTCCCACCTTCCCATAAAAATACTGTGGTCACATATTCCCTTTCTTAAAGTTCTTTTTTATAACTTTTACACTGAACTTGTCCAAAGCTGGATGTATTTTATTAGAACAACAAATGTCCCCTGTTACATTTGCTTATTTGCCCCCATATATTTAGCATAACCAGTCACCTCTTACATGAGCAATTACAAAACTCATTAAAGTTCTAAAGTCAAGACCATTAAATTTTTCAATACATTACAATTGTGACTTGCTGGTAGATCAGTGATGACCATATTATCTCATATTATGAAATCTCAATAAATAAATCATTTTCTTTGATTATTTGGACTTACTATTGAAAGAACTTGTCAGAATGTTAGGGGCTGAATACTCATTTCTCTTAATTGCTTTGAATACTAGTACACAGAATGTCATTGCAAACTTTGTTATCTGCTCTGATGTAGTTTGAAAATCATATTCCAGCCAAGTTAATATTTGCTTGTTAAATTTTTCTAGTAATTACAGTTGTTTTGGAAAAATGGCGTGAGTAGAAACCAACTGAAGGACATAGATGTGACGCCAATGGAGACATACAGTTTGAACTATAGAACTTGAAGAGGTCCTGCTAGCTGTCTCATGTTGAAAATGTAAATGGCCATTTCCAAGATGGTGTAGTAATGCACATGGAAGTTTCACAGGGTCACAAATTCAGTATCCATAAGAAAAGTCAATGAGTAGCTCAGAAATAGAATCTTACCTTTCACTTCTATCATTTGTTTTTCTTGGGTGAATGCTTACTTTTTTATGATGAATGTTCATAATTCTTTTTAGTTGTCGGTAGTTATCCAAGTTCCCTAAGTAATATATTTAGAAGATGGAAACTAAGGGAGGAGAGTTGAATATTGTAATTGAAACAGCTTGCAAAAGAGTTGATCTGATGGGTATTTCATCATCCACGTAATTGTTACTGTATTGCTTGGTAATTAGCTGTGAATGATAAGTGGTTCATGTAAATGAGCATATTGCAACTATTACTAATGTAGAAATCTTTTGTAAGACCTTCCTTAGAATTTACAAACTGTGTTCACATGCATTATCCCATTTAATTAATTTCACCTTTCTCTCTCTTTTATTTTTTTTTCCCTGCTGACTCCAGGATTTCAGGGGTCAGGTAGCAGAAAAACAGAGTGCATGTGATCATATTACAGAGGGACACTAAGATTCTCAGCATCCCTGAGGGATGTTACTGGTTTAATAAATATTGAGGGAAGTGTAAAACCTATGCCACCCGCTAAGCCCTGGCTCTACCATGACGTTACTCTGTGACCTTGCACAACATTCTTAAGCACAGAAACATGTACATACATGTACACAAATATATCTGTGTATTAAGATTTCTGAATCAGAGTTTTCTTATTTGTAAGAAGAAGGTGAGGAGCAACCTCTCGTATGTCAATAAAGAATAGACCTCATTACACTTGTTTGTGTCCTTTATCGGTTGCTGCACAGACTGAATAGAGTGGGCTGCTCTTATCCATGAGTTCCACACCCATGGATACATCCAAATGGAAATCAAAACTATTCAGAAAAATTTTCTCATGAAATTCCAAAAACCAAAACTTGAATTTAGCATGTGCCAAGTACTACCCTGAATCCATGAGAATGAAGTGGTATGTAGGCCTTGTGTTTGGCATTATAAGTAATCTAGAGATGACTTAAGGCATACAGGAGGATGTGCCCAGATTATATGCAAATATTATGCCATTTTATTTAAGAGATTTCAGCAGCCACAAATTTTGGTATCTGCACTGGGTCCTGGAACCAATCCCCTGTGGATAGCACGGGACAACTGTATATGTAATAAGGCTACATACTACAAAAGTCAGAATCAAGAAGCATTTGTTCTATTTCCTTTCCATCTCAGTCTCTATAGGAAAAAGAACACTCCTTTCTCCTGCTGAACGGTCCAAAAAAGTTACTCTGATTGTTTCTGGTTCATGCCTTTGAGAAATCAGGACAGATAATGAGATCTAATCCTTCTGACATAGGGCAGACTGGGCTTTATACCCTTTATAGTACAATTCATCCATAAAAACAAAGTGAAATAAGATGGAATAGACCCCGAATAGGAAGAAAGAGAGGGTAAGGAAGGGTAGAACTGTTTCTTATTCTTTACTCATCCAGAAAGAGGAAAAGATGTTCTGAAGCCAGAATCCAGTAATCTCGCCTCTCTCTTATAGGGTCAATCTGATGCAGGTTTTCAGGTTTGGCCCCTCTTCCCAAACATTATTTAGGTTTAGACTTTGCCCAAGACTCCACAAATTAAAATTTAATCCAGAATGTCAGTTATGAGAAAGAATGTTCTATATGACTCAAAAACAATTCCACATACACATACCCTACACACACACACACACACACACTGCAACTTAATGGGAATTGTGTTTGTCTCTAAATATCTTTCTTTATCAATGTGGAATAATGATATCAGCTCATGTCACAAGATTATGACAAAACTAAACTGAGATAATGAAACATTGCAATTACCAACTGCTACAGGAATGCTGTTAGATAATATTACCCATAAATTAAGCTTCCCCATATGGCCTCCAGATTAGTTCCATAGTGAAAAACTTGGCAATATGTCCTACCAAAGAGTAAGTTTTTACAGTGAGAATAAAATTGTGTACCCCACTATTTGGAGACTGTAAATGGTCTATTGGTGAAGGTTCATTCATCAACTATTAGTCTATAAATAACTTAAGGTATATGTTTATATAAACACTAAAATACACACACATATCCATCTGAATGCTGCCTATGTTTGTTTACATATTTCTCTACATCATTGTGATTTTAATATGGTCCTTCAGACATATTCAGAACCAGCTGTATCTATCATCCTTTCTCACCCACCCCTACCTCATTTGGCACGAAATGTTATACCTCATCTCAGAGTGTACATTAATCAGATTTACAGTCTTCATATAGTGATAATTCCCACAACTTAGGACTTCTGGGTCACCCTGACAGTGGGTTGGCTGCCTTTCATTCTGGGGCTACTTGTCATAGCTCAGTTTTCCTTAGAAGATGCAGTTTTGCCATAACTATTAACTCCAACACTATTGTAAAATGATGTGGAGTCAGAGTTTTGTAGTTTTCATTTTCTAGCTATTTTTATATTCCATCATAGATACCAATGAATGACCATATTCAAGGAAAGATAAGGGAATACCTGGAACTAGGTCCTGAGCACAGGAGAATGGGTCCACTCAGGTTGTTACAAAGAGACCTAGAAGATATCAGGAAAGGCCAGGTGCAGTGGCTCATGCTTGTAATCCCAGCACTTTGGGAGGCTGAGGCAGGTGTATCACTTGAGGTTGGGAGTTCGAGATCAGCCTGACCAACATGAAGAAACCCCATCTCTACTAGAAATACAAAATTAGCCAGGCATGGTGGCGTATTCCTGTAATCCCACCTATTAGGGTGGCTGAGGCAAGGAGAAACACTTCAACTTGGGTGGACGAAGGATGCTCCAGCCTGGGCAACAAGAGCAAAATTCTGTCTCAAAAAAAAAATTATCAGGAAGAAGGCCTACTGGTGTGATGCTCCTTCTAAGTCCTTATTTCCATGGTATGTTTACTTTTCAGAAGAACCTCTGATGGAATCCAAGTGTTTTGCTGTGGGCAGATGATCATTTTCTCCTTGTCTAATGACATGGAAATCAGAACAAGGTAACACAGATGTTGAAATAAAAAGATAAAGCAAATTTGGTTGGTTGAACCCAAATTTTGTAAAGCTACAGATTTATGAACACTTTTGGTCAAGCAGCCATTCATTGTGATTCATGGAGATCTAAGGTACCAGTCCTTAAATGCCAAACTTCTATGTCTTTCCCAAAGTGGGCCAGTGAATACTTTTACACCTGTTATGCACAACTGTCAAGCACTGCCAATGTTCCCTGGGGACAAGTCGGTTAGTAATATAAGACACTGAATGAAAGAAACAGTTACACCGAACTGCTCCATGTAACTGAACACACCATCTAAGTGCTAACAGGCATATTGAAGAGGTGACCTTATTCAGCAAATATTTTTTGAGAACTGATGACACTGAAGGACACAAGGATGGATATGAGACAAATTCTGGTTTCTAGAACCTTACAGTTGAGCACAGACAATCAAACTTGCACAGAAATAATCATAAACCAAGACAGTATGTAACAAACACCCTCATGAGAGATACAGAATGGCTAAGAACTGAAAAGAGGGAGGATCTTTCTACTGTTCAAATATTTTAAGAAAGGCTTCATGGAGGAGGTGCCTTTTGAACTTGACCCTGAGAAAAGCTTATCATATGAAAAAGTGCTGTACATATTCCTCATTCCCTTTTTCTGTGCCTATAATGACTTTTTCTCAGATGTACATTCTGCTTCTTCTAGTCCAAGATTTTCTGCACAGGCTAAAAACAGCCTTCTTGATCCAACCTAACCTAACACCTATACCTGAGAGAAGCCATTTGTGACTCCAAAACTAAACCTGATCACCCTGCTAACACAGCAGTTTGCACCTCTTTCCCAGCACCAACCATGATGTGTAATTTTGCATTCATTTGGGCGACCTTTTAGTATTAAGAACTGCCTCCCCACTTAGACGGCAAGTTCCATAAGGAGGGCACCTTGTCTGATTTGTTCAATGTTGTATTCTTACAACTAGTTGAAAACACCCATAGAAGGCACTCAGTATTCATGGCCATGTGTCTTAGTGACTGGCATGAGAAAAAAAAGTATACAGATAAGAAACACTGAAGGATAAATAGGAAATAGTTACATAGTAGCAAAAAAAATTAAATATAGTGGAGTAGTAAGAAGTCAGCCAGGTATAAGAGACCACATCATTGAATGTGAATTTTTACTTTTCCTTCCATGAAATCTTCCTGAATCTCATCAGTCAGGATACATCCCTCCTTCCAAGTACTTTCAGCGTTTGCTATGGAATGACTTCTGTTAACCTTGTTCCTCATTAAACTGTGAGGACAGAAAAACTTCTTTTTCATGTTTATGTCCTCCACAGCCCAGAGCACAATGTTCATAATAAGTTCTTTTTTTTAAAAGTGTGTATTGAATTTACTTTGCTCAATAGGACATGAAGGTATTTGAGCAGGTGAGAGATGTGTTCCAAATAATACTGCAGGAAATATTTTATATGGTATAAATTTAAGGAGTACAAGTACAATTTTGTATATAGAAATATTATGTACTGGTGAAGTCTGGCCTTTTAGAGTATCCATCACCTGAATAATGCAAATTATTCCCATTAGGTAATTTCTCAACATCTACATCCCACTTGACTCCCTCACCTTTCAGTCTCCAAGGTCTATCATTCTATATTCAATGTCCATGCATACACATTATTTACTCCCCACTAATAAGTGAGAACACACAGTATTTTTATGTTTCTGAGTTGTTTCACTTAAGACAATGGCCTCCAGTCCCATCCACGTAGTTGCAAAAGACATGACTTCATTCTTTTCTATGACTGAATAGTATTTCATTGTACATATGTATACCATATTTTCTTTATCCAATCATCTGTTGATGGACAGTTAGGTTGATTCCATATCTTTGCTATTATGAACAATGCTGTAATAAACATACAAATGCAGGTATCTTTTTGATATAACATTTTTTTTCCTTTGGGCAGATACCTAGTAGTAGGATTGCTGGATTGAATAGTAGTTCTATTTGTAGTTATTTGAGAAATCTCCACACTGTTTTCCATGGAGGTTGTACTAATTTATATTCTTACCAATTGTGTATAAGTGTTCTATTTTCTCTGCATCCTCATCAACATCTGTTATTTCTTGTATTTTTAGTAATAGCTACCCTGACTTGTATAAGATGCTATCTCATTGTGGTTTTAATTTGCACTTCTCTGATGATTAGTGATGTTAAGTATTTTTCATATGCTTGCTGGCCATTTGTATATCTTCTTTTAAAAAAGTTTGTATTAGCTACCCTGACTGGTATAAGATGCTATCTCATTGTGGTTTTAATTTGCACTTCTCTGATGATTAGTGATGTTAAGTATTTTTCATATGCTTGCTGGCCATTTGTATATCTTCTTTTAAAAAAGTTTGTATTCATGTCCTTTGCCCACTTTTTAATAGGATTATTTTTGTTGTTCTTGCTATCATTGAGTTGTAGGAATTCCTTGTAAATTCCAGATACTAGTTTTCTGTTGGATGCAGAGTTTGTTAGTATTTTCTCCCATTCCATAGGCTGTCTGTTCACTCTGTTAATTATTTAATCCAATAGGGGTTTATAAAAGAGACTGGGATTTGAAAGATATTTGTGTTGGTTACTAAGCTACTGCCTGTTAGCTCTAAACCCATCCTTCTGTCCTTTGTTTTCTGACGCAAACCACATGGTTTAGTAAACTGCATTTGCTGCTTTTGGCCAACTGGAAGACTGTTCCTATCTGCCAGAAGGAGCCCAGCAGGGAGGCAAGTAGGCAAGAGGAGGGAGAAGGAATTTACTACTTCCTGCCTGGCTGTCCTTTTTGATTGAGTTACCCCAGGATTAAAACTTCACCTGGGCGGCAGCAGTTGGTTCCACTTTTCAGCTTTCTCTCCCTTCCCAGGACCAGCCTCATCATACCCTCAGCACCAGCACCAGCACCAGTTGGTGATGCCCCCTCCTCAAAGTTCTCAGCTCCTTGCGAAAGTCTGATAATATCCTCTCCTCAGAAGACTGGATTCCAGCTCAGTGAGATCTCGTCTGAGCTTGCAAGTCCTAAAACTCCCACTTTTTCCCTTAAATTTACCCTAAATGTGCAATTGCTTCTTGCAGTTATTGGCTCTGTGTTACTCTAGTTTTATTTTTCCAGCACCTCTCCTCAACCTGTTTGAACAATTTCTATATTAAATCATTTCTGATAAAATATCTCACATTATCTAGTTTCCTGACCACACACTGACTACCGATTGTTAGGGACCAGTGAGAGGGCTAATATAATAGCCTTGCTATTACCTTGCTCAGGGAAAAGGCAGTAAGTCCCTGAAATCAAGAGATGAGAATAAGAATGAAAAGATATTAACAATAACATCAGCTAGTGCTTACTGAGCAATAGGCCCATGTGCTTTGTATGAAATATGTAATTTAATTACTGCAAAATCCCTATGAAGTAGTTAGTATCTGTAGGCCTATTAACATACAAGGAAACTGAAATATGAAGAAGTTAAGTGGCTTGTACAGGATTATCAGACAGTAAATAGTGAAACAGGCAGAGACCTATTTCTATCCAAGCAAAAAGTCAACATTATAAGCACCTCGTACTTACCCAGCTTCCCTGCCATCACAATTACTCAGAGAAATTACAAGCAATCTATATTTTAAAAATGTAACAAAGCTTAAAAACAGTACAGGAGTACAAGGCAAAGGAAGTCATTTTGACAAGGTCTGAGACGCAGCAAAGCTCCATGGGATAAGTTAGCACATAAATATTTAATATGCCCTAGGTACTTGAATTCCCAGTTGTTGTTTCATTTTCTTATTTGGATTTCAAATTACTTTCCTTCGATTTAAGAGGGCAATAAACTAAAAGGTGGAGCTCAATTGACATAATCTACATTTGTGTTTACTGAATGCTTGAATTTTGACAACTGAAAACCTAGTGGAACAAAGTGAGATGAAATAGACTTTCTCACAGAATCTCTTCTTTCTTTGGGACTATGTTACTCTTCTTATAATACAAAAAAAATCATGTTCTTAAAATTATTTAGAGTACCTCAAAACTATAGCATAAAACTTTATAAAAGGGAAAATGTAAATAATATAGAACATATTTCAGTCTGTGGTGTTTTATGTTCATCAGAGCTATTCCAAAAATTAACTGTCATAGAGAACATAGAATATTTGGTTTAATATCTATTGCCTCTACTCAGGACAGCCTCTACTTTATGTATTTAAATGAAAGGTAAAGTAAACTTAGAGAGCAGGAGCTGAGGAAAATGCAAGATACATGTGAAATATTTAAGCACCATTCTACTAGAAGAATGTCATAAGTTGCACACTGCCTTCCCAACTTTTCACCACCACCATCAGAAATAAGGGAAAGAGAGTCAATTAAAAAAGTGCTTAGTGGCAAATGCTCTGGAGATTATCTTGGGGTCAAATCCTGGTGCCACCATTGATTGCACTACTGTGGGCAAGTTACTGAACCTCCACAGTCTTCTCAGCTTCTTTTTCTACAAAATTAAGATAATAATACTTTCCTCTATTGAAAAGTTGAGCACAGTATCTGGAACATGCTAAGCACTCAACAAATGTTAACTCTCATTTTACCTGGAAAACATGAAGTATAAAGGGATTGTGTGTATGCATGTGCATAAATACGTCTGTGTCTTCACTAGGCATTTTATTAATAAGATCTATAAATACATCAACACTGTGTAATAATACATTATGATTAAGTATCAAATTCTTATACAAACTGCAAGTTTGTTGATATTTCTCTAACTAAAGATGGGAGCAACTAATACTCAGAGTCCAGGAGAAATAGTCTGCTTCCCATTTTCACACTTCTGAAATGTGTAATGCAGCTGGTGGAGGATGGTACTGTAGGCAAAAGAACCCTTGACTGGGAGCCAGAAGACTCCATGATTTCAAACAAATCTCTTTGACCTTTCTAAATCAAGTTTCTTCATTGGAAAAAATGGAGATATTCTCAACTTCCTTAGAGGAGTTTTGAGGGATTCGGTAAAATCACATAACATTTGGCAATGTAAGTGCATGAACTTTGCAAAATACTCTGTAAGCTTCTTTCATAATTTCTGCTAATATTGTCTTCAGTGGGATCAGTTGGTCATGAATCCTTCCTCCTTAGAGAAGAATGATGAAGCTAAGCCTTCTTTACTAGATGTTATATATGGAGAGCAAAGCACAACCTCTTTTCTGGACAGCTGAATTAATCCAGACATTGAAAACATCCAGACACTGAAAATGTACTCTTGAGTGAGAGAAAGCCTATTAGTACCTCTCACAGGAAAAGGCATTCAGAATGGACATGTTTATTTTCTCTGCCTCACCTCCAACATACACATATCAACTACGGAAAGTCCCAGAAATACACAGGGGTACAACCAAGACCATATTGGGTAAAAGTCTGACTTTATATGGAAAGTTGAAGAGGAAAATATGCATATCGATTTCTAACAGGCAGTTTTCAAGCCCAAATCTCACTCTTGAATTCTGAGGTTATACAACTTGCCATTCTCTCCTATTAAACTGAAATTTCATAAAGAAACCCCAAATGTAAGTCAACTATGAAATTTGGGTACAAATGCCATATTCTCTCCGCAATATACTCTCTAAGCCTATCCAGTATAATGCAGTGAAAAGAAAGTAGACTTTGACTCAGGCCAAACTTAATTTCAATCGAGGTTCTGTTACTTTGAGGCCTTAAATAAGTCACTAAGTCATCCTTCTTGTAGCAGTGTCTTCAGTAAAATATTTCCATGACGTCATGGAAAGTCATATGATGTCTACTTTCCAGAACTATTCCAAGAATTAACAGTCATAAGGTACACAGAATATTTGGTACCTTTTGCCTCTACTCAGGACTGCCTCCAAGAAGTGATGACCTGAGGCTTCCAATAGCCATACAGAAAGTGAACATATTCAACCTCTTATTCCTTTGTGGTGTCTGATAGTTATTTTGATTACAAAAGCCCTCTATATCAGGAATGTGATATTAATTCACAATATATGTAATTAGCAAGTCAAATTTTCTAGGAAGAAAATGGTATTTTTATTCAGAGAAACATAAAACAATGTAAAATGTTATACTTTTGCACAGTCAAAACAGTTGCTCCAGAAACCTGGAGCAGAGAAAAAAGGAATCCTATTTTGGTGTTCACATGGCTATAAGGAAGATGCTGAAATCAGCACATTCTCCTGAGTGCATGGACCACTCAAGGTACAGAACATTCTCTCCCTGAAGCTAATTGAAAGGCTTCTGCAAGCTAAACAGGTCGTAGAAAGGTTTTTGCTGTTGTTGTTGTTGTTTGTTTTTTGTTTTTAGGATTTTTCTGGAAAAAATGTATTTACTTATTTGGAGAGAGGCACTCTTTCCAGTAAAGTGGTCTCCCGTAAATTAGCCCTTTATCAAATGCATCTACTGGTCACCCCCAACAACTTTACTGTGCAGGAAGCCAACATAAAGGAAAGTAAGTAAGTTGAGCCAAAAAGGTATACAGTCAAATAATTCAAGGGCATTTCTGAAAATGTATAAAGCCGAATAGAAGGCCTATCCTGTAAGGTTACTATTCTATTTCTAAAATAAAAATCTTGGGTGTGGGAGAAGAGTGCCATTGTGCTCTGAAACTCTACTCTTGGCTTTTACATTGATATTACATTTACTATATAGTGGTTTCCTTTTGCTCTGTATGTATTTTTTCTAATTTATTTTCAAGTGCTTACACTGATATTTTATTAGTATATTCCTCTTAATGCTTTTCTCTCAAAGAAAATTCTGATTTGGACCACTGAAACCCAGTGATCATTTGCCATGTTTTGAAATATTTTGGCCAGGCACAGTGGCTCATGCTTATAATCCCAGCACTTTGGGAGGCAGAGGTGAGTGAATCATCTGAGGTCAGGAATTTGAGAACAGCTTGGCCAACATGATGAAACCCCATCTCTACTAAAAATACAAAAATTAGCCAGGCATAGTGGAGGGTGCCTGTAATCCAAGCTACTTTGGAGGCAGAGGCAGGAGAATTGCTTGAACCTGGAAGGCCGAGATTGTGGTGGGCCAAGATTGCACCATTGCACTCCAGCCTGGGTGACAGAGCCAGACTGTGTCTCAAAAATAAACAAATAAAATATTATATATTAAAAATATGTCTCATTCAGTGTTTCTGTTAGAAAAATGCAATAACACTAAAGACAAAAAATTAAATATTATCTTATCCAGAAAGAAAGAATGTATTTATACTTTTACTATTTATAGTTAAAAGCAAATAAGAACTGTCATGCCCCATAAGATGAGAATTGTTAAATTTACAGCAAAGCCTTCTAGGCAGTAATTGTTAATCACCGAGTTGAGAGAGCGAAAGAGGCCATCAGTTTTCCAACAAGCAGAGACCAGGCATTTCTCACAAATAAGGCATGGTTTTGGCAGATGTCACTGACAGCTCACACAGGAGGGTCACCTTAAACTGAAGAGGCCTGTTTGGTCTCCTACTTGGTGACTCATCTCATAGCCATTGACTGCTGTGAAGACTATCAGTGAACATTCAACTCTCAGAAAATTTTGAGATTTAAATAAAGCGGTAGTGCCATGCAAAATATATTATATTATTCATACTCTTAAAAATTAAAGTGAACATTGCACTAAAACTTGGGACATCCTTGAGATAAGAGAAGAGAGGAGGATATAGCTTCCTAAAATTTTAATGTTAGACAGAAAATTGTATCTTGTTAATATCTTACATTTATGTCCCTTATGGAATAGCTTTCTCTGGGTACATTCTTGACTGTCCAACATTTGCAAACAAACCAGTCTGAACGAGGTTTCAAGACACAGTTGAAATAGCATCCATTCTCTGGGGTTTATTTTTCCCCTTCTTTCCCTGGTTAGAATTAATCTGTCTATTCTGTAAAAGGCCAACATACTTTTGCAAGAAGCTCCACCGCACAGGCTGTGTGACCTTGGGTGAAATACCTAATGTCTCTGAACTTTATAAAATAGAGTTTCAAGTTCCCTATTTTTAAAAGGAGGGTAATAATAACCTTCTTTATAGACTTATTATAATGATTAAATAAGGTTATATTTACAACATATGATCCATAATCACTTCCTGCTTGGAAGAGAGCCTGCCCATTGTTCATACTGAATAAGTGTTTGTTAAATAATTAAATAAAGTACATCGAAAATGTTACTCATTGTCTTTACCTTCTCTTGTAGGAAGCTTTTCCCAGGTACAGACAATGTCTTCAAACCCCTATGTTTAGCAAACTATTCCTGGTTTTGGTAGCAGTTATAAATATCTGCTTATAAACAAAATAAAGTGATCTCCAGGTTTTGCTATCAATTAATTATTTAGAAAGATTGACCTGAAAGAACTAACATGGAAGCTATTCCTATTGGTTGTACTTTCCTAGGCCATTATTAGGTCTCAACTACATCATCAGTGTTTATGACACACCACAGGCACTTAATAAACAGGTACCAACTGAATAAAATGTAGTCAGCCAAATAACTCTTTTTTTTTTTTTTTTTTGATACAGAGTCTTGCTCCATCTCCAGGTGCCAGGCTGGAGTGCAGTGGCGCGATCTCGGCTCACTGCAACCTCTGCCTCCCAGGTTCAAGCAATTCTCCTGCCTCAGCCTCCCGAGTAGCTGATACTACAGGCATGCACCACCACGCCCAGCTAATTTTTGTATTTTTAGTAGAGACGGGGTTTCACCATGTTGGCCAGGATAGTCTCGATCTCTCAACCTTGTGATCTGCCTACCTCAGTCTCCCAAAGTGCTGGGATTACAGGTGTGAGCTGCCGCGCCTGGCCCCAAATAAGTCTTTATCTCAAATTACTAAAATGACTAATATTTTACTGGAAATAATTCTGTTTCTACATTATCACATTTACTAAAAATATTTGTTAAGTAGATGTTACATACAATTTGAATAAAAGTTTTTAAACATCTCTGGAAGACATGTTTACCATAAGCCCCACATTAATTAATTTACCATTACTCAACAGATGTCAATTAAATGTCTAATAGTGTTCCTTAATATGCTAATGGCAGAGTATATTTAAAAAGAAGTATAAGTTACATCCTCAGTGAATTTACAGATTAGATGAAACAAAGACGCAGCTAATACTGTGGTTCCAAACTGTTTGATCAGCACTGAGTGAAATAGCTTGAGAGAGGTCAGAGCACCAGGAACTGGACTAGTTAAGGTCACATCTCAAAGAGGCTGATGGATGGGAAGAATTCACACTGATGACACATGAGAAGAGAAACTAGTGACACACTCATCCTGATACCCCACGGCTCACAGTGTTTTGCTCATACTCATCACACAGTAAACTGAACTGAACTCCTATGACTGCAAAACCAGCAGCCAGGAAGCCAAACCTGCAATGTCCAGTGGCAGCGGGGGAGACTCAGGAGACAGGATCAGTTAGAACAGAGCTTCTTAGGGGAAAGTAGTCCCCACATTAGTGATTCAGCTCACATGCCCACAGACTGTCTAGCCAGCTTGCCTTCTACTGTCTGCCACCCCCACCTGGCTCTATGACTGCACCCTGACCTATTCCCAATCCTTTGGTCTTTTTTGGATAGATTACTATGCATTTCTTTTGCTCCATTTGACTTAAACATCAGTTTCCAAATAAAAGATAAACTATTTCTCCACACATGTTGAAGTGGCTCACTCAAGGCTGTAATTTTTTAGAATTGATATTTCTCAGAGGGTTTTGTGTATTTTTCCCCCTACTTCAGAAATAATTAGGTGAGTTATATCAAACAGGTCTAAAAGAAGGTAAGTTTCTTTCAGGCATTTGTTTTTTTCCCCTCTCATTCCCCAAACATTACTATTTCATCCTTTCTGAGCATAGCCAGAAACTTGGCCTCCTTTGACTTCCAAACATACCAAGTTATTAAAAATACCCTTCAGCCAACATTAAGGAAGGGTCAGTGAAAATGAACTCAACGGGGGGCTTAAGCAGAGCACAATGATTTCTTTGACTTAGAGCAGGAAATGAACGATGATAATTTTGGATGGCCAGTTTCTTTCACTAATCTGTTGCTGGACTCTCTTGGATATGAATGTTTCTCCTTGTCAGATTTCCTAATATTTCTCCATTTTGCTGTCACCAAGACATGAGAGTTAGCTGGAACGACAAGAGTTTAGCTCACTCAAAAAAAAAAAAAGTCAACATTCCACAGAAAGTTATGGGACCTTCAGTTAGTATTAAGAGGAAAGTAAAGGTAGACGCTTAGCACCCACAAGGTTTATGCAGAAAAAGAAAGGCAGACGCTATTTTCAGGCTGCTGCTAATTGAGTCTTATTTGGATTGGAGCCTTCTGAAAGGAATCAACACATCAGGAATGGGTAAGCTAACAGGGAGCAGACAGCTGCTGAATAGAATTCTGGAGACAGCAGCCCTGCTGCTTAGATCTGGGATAACATAGAGGTTCAGTGTGTAATTGACCGTGGAACAAGAAGAACATTGTTTTGTAAAAGAAGGTACTTTTGCTGGGGTCCACAGAAACAGTTACGGTTCTTACCTCTCAGGGAGAACTATGTTTAGCTGTGGCTTTTAGATTCAACTTTCCAAATTTGTATTTGCTGCAAAAGTAAACCACACTCAAGAGTAAAGCAAAATGCATCAGTAAGGCTATAATTTTGCAGAGAGAAATAAGAAGGGTATATAATATTTTAATCAGAAAGAACTCAGCATCCCAGCAAAGAGTTTCTTAATCAAAACAAAAGAGAACAAATTGTTAAATATAATAATCCACTGACATTCACGTGGAAGTATGTCCCACAACTTTCATAAATCCCGAACTTATGATACCACTATAATATACTATTACTTGACAAGAAGTAGATGTGAATAACTCACAAGGATTACTGTGTATGACACAGAAAACCAAAGAGAAGAAAAGCTGCATGGACACCAGCTGCTCTGACTGTGTGTACAGGGCTCATTCACCAACACACAATTCAAATTCAAGTCTCAGCAAAATAACTTGTCATAAACTGTGATCCTCTATAAGGTCATCTTCAAATAGACAAAATAGTGACATTTAATTCATAAAGACAAGGTTCTACTCTCTTTCTGAGCAAATAACCCAATCAACTGTGGGGTAGTTTCATCAGCTTTGGAGGAAAGGCAATTTTCTTTCAAGATCTGACACCCTTCATACCCTCTGCTTATAATTCCAGATGGTAGGTGTAGGTGGTAGAAATGTTAGGTTGAGCAGAATGATAGTACCTAAAGAGGAATGAATAGTACCAGGAAATGCATGACTCATGGCATTCTAATTTTCTTGAAGTTCTTTTGTACATTTGCATCAAGATTTTCCACAAAATTCAATCCTGACTTTAATTGTAACTTTTAAGAGTCATTTATTGAATTTCTATTATTGCAGAGCACTTCCACTGCATGAGGCATAATAAAAGAAGCATATAATGTCATTGAGAGGCAAGAAACAACCACGTGTGCAGAGAACAATAAACCTATGGCTATCAGCCTGTAACTTAGGTAACCTATAACCTTTTTGTAGCCATAATTTGGTCCTAAATCCCATAGCACCTTCTCTGTTTTTTCCAAGGAGAATGCACCAGGGGATTTAGAACCAAGCTAGGGCTTCAGACGAATGTTACAGGCAGACTGTAAAAGTTCTACCAGGTGTCTACTCTGAAAAATGGGGAAAAAGAATCTGGGCATGGTGGCTCATACCTGTAATCCCAGCACTTTGAGAGGCTAAGGTGAGTGGATCACCTGAGATCAGGAGTTCGAGACCAGGCTGCCCAACATGGTGAAACCCCATCTAGACTAAAAATACAAAAATTAGCCAGGTGTGGTAGTGGACACCTGTAATCTCAGCTATTTGGGAGGCTGAGGAAGGAAAATGGCTTGAACCAAGGAGGAAGAGGTTATACTGAGCCAAGATCGCACCACTGCACTTCAGCCTGGGCAACAAAGTGATACTCCATCTCAAAAAATATAAATAAATAAAAAGGAAAAAATGGGCAAAAAGAGACATGGCTAAAGTCTTAAGCAATAAATTCAGCAAAGGCAAAAAGACAGGTAAGTGTGTGGGGCTTTAAGGAACCATTAACTTAATCATCTTATTGGGGCAAACGTCTCATTTAAAGGCAGGAGTGAAAGTGACAGATGGAGTAATGGTCATATTCCTTTCCTTCTTACACTTTATGCAACAAACCATTGTACTCCATTGCACTTAAATACCAGGAAAACAGTTACCAAAGAACAATATTAACACATTTATGTCGACCATATAATGTCTGCATACAGATCACAGCAATCAAGCTTCCAGCCTTTTGTTACATGCCTACTATGTGCCAGGAATTGTCCTAGCACTTCCTTTCCTAGTCCCTATCCCATTTAATCACTTCACATTCTACCACTCACACAAATGATGGATTTCCTTTACTCTCAGCCCCACATAAAATACTTCAACCTAACAATTTTTAATTATATCTGCATGATATTCTTTTATCCATCTAATGTTTCCACCTTCGATTAGAACCATTTCACATTTCAATTCCTATATTACCCCCAGACTCCAGGCTTAGGGTTTTATAAAATAAGATTGTAAAATAAAAACTCATCTTCTCCCTTCCTCCAGAAATGGGGAGAAGTAAGTGTGTAATAGCTAATATCTATAATGGGTATACTATGTTGAGTTTTCGAGGTAAAGCTGTTTCATTTAATGGCCCAGCAACACTGTTGAAAAAGGAAGAACCTGGAGTATGGAGAGACTGAACAACTCCCACCAAGTTCATGAAATCAGTAATTGGTGGATCAATAATTTTAAATCAGGTCCAACTCAGAACCTAAATCTCTTAAGATCACAAGCATAGTCATAATATTTAATTCAGTGCCTTTTCTTTGCCTACAAAATAAATGATTTTTTTGAAGTACTGGCAATGGAATTCTTGAATTAGATTGTGTGAATTCAGATTTCAAATGTGTCATTTGCCAGCTGTGCAAACTTTGATATAATAATTAATATCCCTAATCTTGAATTTATCATCTATCAAAAAAGATAATATTAGTTTCTCTACACACCATTGTTATAAGGTTAGAAAATAATGCATGTAAAATGTATATACAGGGCCTGACATAGTAAGTGCTTGATAGGAACTGATGAAGGAATAATGGTTAGGTACATAAATGAA